GCCCGCCCGTGCCTGTGTGCGTTGGGCACTGGCGAGGGGACCCGAGAGCAGTGCAGGCTGCGCGCGGCGGAGCTGCGGCTGCTCCTTCTGCTGGGGAGCCGCGCGAGGTGGCCGCCTTGCGCCTCCCCGGACTTCCCGAGTGGGGGCAGAGCAGCCGTTCACCGAGCCTCCAGTTAGAAGGCGCAGGGAAAGAGGGACCTCCAAACTCCTCCTCAGCGTCTCCTCTCCACCCCTTTTTGGCCCCTGCCCTTGGAGAAAGTGGAGTGTGGCGCTCGGTTATCCTTATTTCTTTGGACCGCTTCGCGGTGCGAGGCTTCCGCCGCTGCCCAGTGGGCTTTCCGCTGTTCGCCGTCCGTGTGCTTCCCCCGGCACACCTCAGCCGACGATGAGGAAAAGTCTGCGGGCGACAGCGGCCCGCTGCGGACTGGGACTGGGATACGTGCTGCAAATGCTGGTGCTACCTGCCCTGGCCCTGCTCAGCGCCAGCGGCACCGGCTCGGCCGCTCAAGGTAAGGGTCCGCCGGGCGCCGCCTCCCTTCGCTCCCGCTTCCTCTCCTCCTCCCCCGTGCCCCGGCTTCCTCAATCCGCCTCGTTGCGCTCAACTGGAAACCCCTTTCCATCCCGCTTTCCCAACTAGTCAGCAAGCTTTGGTTATTATTTTTAATTTGTCTTCCGAGATGGGCATGGATGGACCAGGGGCGCACGGGGTGTGGACTTGCCTCTGTCTCTGGGCATGTGGGCTCCTTGGGTATGTTTTGCACTTTCTGCTCCATACGCACACGTTGTTGAATTTCGTGCACCCTGAGGTGTGGCGACAGTCTTGGTGCGGGCGTCTGTGTGGCACGCCATAGATGCACCCCGATGCCCACAGGCTCCCCGCGCTGTGCCACGTCTGGGGTTGCGGGATCTTCAGGGTGTCTCTGAGTACGCCGGACGCGGAAGGGCGGTCAGCTAAGGAAGCACGTCCGCTGCGACCGCGGACTCCCAGCGCCGCTGCCCCCCGGCTGCTGCCCGGGGCGCCGTGGAGACGCTCAGGACACGCAGCCCCGAGCCACCCAGCCAGCCAGGCCCCG